TTTTGTATACCTTTCAGATATCGAAAAATATGTACTTAGTTTATGGATGAGATTCATATTGAACCTTTTCTGGATTGTAAAGATGGAAACATTGTTTCATATATTTTTTTTTTTTGACATGAGAGCCATATTTGTTAAGATGTTTTGGTTCTGTCTATGAATTTGTTGGTGAATATAACCATAGTTGTATTCAAAATTTAAGTTGAGGAAAATTATTATTTCCCCTAGACAAAGTAGTGCAGTTTATGTAGCTAGCTATTTATTGTTTAACAAAATATTTTGGGGACAATTTATTAATGGGTTTACAATAAAAAGAGGTCTCTTGCAACATTTATACTAAATGAGGAAATTACATTAAATTTTCTTTTGAAGCAAAATTTATTTAAAGTGCAGAAAATTACTATAAAAGTATGTTTCTATATATAAAACCCCTTAAAACTTAACTATTAATATGTAATTAATTATTAAAATATTGAATATGATTAGGTGGGCGAAAACGGTCCCTAATTGGTCGAGCAATTTGTGACATCAGGATCCGGTATATGAGTGTTAAGACAAGACTGTCAAGACGCGGGAGGCTGGCGCTGTCATTGCATTGCTGTCATTTAATTTTGTGATGAATTAGTTTGTGTTCGCATTGAATTCTGAGTAGTTTTGAGTAGTTAGTTTTAGTGTATAAATTTAAAAACAAGTTTAATTAAATTTTCATAGAGTCTACGAACGTTTTCATAATATCTACCCAGGCAGCTTTAATGCGTGGCGGCTTCAGGATCAGAACACGAGAACGTGAAAAACATAACAATTTAATTAACCAGTTTAATGTTTAATGTTTAATGTTTAATGTGGCTAACTTTAAAACACATACACATACATAACTTTTACACGTCAATCATGTAGGAACCTAAGTATAAAAAAATAATACTTGTTAAATCTTATTTAACGTTGTATCTTAGGTGTTAGGCCTACTTTTAGAAAACAGATAAAACAATTACAGTATATTAAAATTAACACTAAGAAGAAAAAAAAGAAACAAAAACGTTATACACATTGCACCTAAGTGAATTAACACTTGTATTGTGCAAGCACAAAATCCATTAAGTATATGCTGTATATACAATATGAGTAAAATTCAAATTATTATTATCATCTTTCGTATTAGCTAGGATATTATTCAATCAATGACAAAAAAGACAAATAGTTGTTACTTATGTATGTTTTGCAGAGGTGCGAGTATTTTTTAAAGCTTTTGGTTCTTCTTATTTCTAAGGGTAACAAGTTGTATGTCTTGGGAGCTAAATGTGTCGCAAATCTCAAACCTATGGTTTTATTATTAAAAGGTGTTAGTAAAGCTTCGTTTGACATACTCCGAGTTACCCTAACATTCATTATCAACTGTTTTTCATTTTTAAATACATTTGTACACAATGAATGGAAATACAAAGATCTAATATTACATATTCCATCCTTGAAAAGTAAACTGGTCGGGTATAATTTATTTTTTTTTAAAATNCTCTTATGAAATTTAATTTTCAGCCTACAAAACCACAACGATACTCTTAGATGGTAAAAGGGTGAAACTTCAATTGTGGGACACCTCCGGGCAAGGTCGTTTTTGTACCATAATTCGTAGCTATTCGAGAGGTGCGCAGGGTGTTCTTCTCGTTTACGATATTACCAATCGATGGTCATTTGATGGACTAGATAGGTGGTTGAAGGAAGTTGACGAACATGCACCCGGAGTTCCTAAAGTTCTGGTGGGAAATCGCCTGCATCTGGCATTTAATAGGAAAGTAGGGCAGAGGGATGCCCAGATATACGCCAACAAGCATAGCATGGCATTCTTCGAGGTGTCTCCTTTGTGTAATTTCAACATACACGAGAGTTTCTGTGAGTTGTCACGCATGGCCCTGCAGAGAAATGGCATGGAAAGACTTTGGAGGTCCAACAAAGGTATGTCATGTGTTTTTGATTTGATTATGCATTGGGAATAATAAATAGTGATAATAAGAGTGTCGATGAATAACAATTAAATATGCAGGGTCATCGTGGAACATTGTTTAAATTATTCATCCTGCTAATATTAGAAAGAGGAATTATAAAGAGTTATTTTTAATGAAGGGCATAGCTAATATAAAGAGTATGGTGGGAAGTCCCTCAGATTTAGGTATAATTTTAGAGGAAAGACGATAATTTTTACGGTATCCTAAAAATATTTTTGTATACCTTTCAGATATCGAAAAATATGTACTTAGTTTATGGATGAGATTCATATTGAACCTTTTCTGGATTGTAAAGATGGAAACATTGTAAACGATTGTGTTTCTGTCAAATCGGTCGACTCTAGCGTGACCACAAAACATCAAAGGAACCGCCGATTCTGTCGCTTCTCGTTGGTATTGTGTTCTCTGACAAGACTCTCAAGACGCGGGAGGCTGGCGCTGTCATTGCATTGCTGTCATTTAATTTTGTGATGAATTAGTTTGTGTTCGCATTGAATTCTGAGTAGTTTTGAGTAGTTAGTTTTAGTGTATAAATTTAAAAACAAGTTTCGTTAATTTTCGTAGAGTCTACGAACGTTTTCATAATATCTAACCAGGCAGCTTTAATGCGTGGCGGCTTCAGGATCAGAACACGAGAACATGAAAAACATAGCAGTGTCTGAACATATATATTATAGTACCCATGTGTAGTTCCACAACACTAACTGCCCCCCAACAAAGTATTTAATGTACCAAAGGATAAGAAAATGAGGAAGAAATCATGCAAACATATTTTATAGAACATCTATTTTTGACAAATTATCAGATTGTTCTTGGACAAACCCAGCTTCTGTAGCCATAGAATGTACAATTTTTAAAATAATTAACAATATTGTGTTAAGTAAAAGTAAATAATATAAAATCTATCGGGCACACGTAGTTTACATAAACACAAATTAGTAAGAGTGAGACAGACTACAGAACACTACTCTACACGACTCGTTTAATTTGGACCGATACCGGATCGTGACGTAAGAGTCAGCCGTCTCTGTTTAAGACTGTGTTTTAGTGCATAATTATTTTGTTTATATATTTTTTTATAGGAAAATTATTAATTAAAAATTTAAAATTTATATGGCAATTGACTTTTTACGATGAAAGGAATTTAATAAGAAAAGAAAAAAAAAATGTGAAACGTCCCCATTATTTAAAAAATAATGGAAATCTACGATATTATTCAAGGTGTACTATTCATTATTCTAAATATACGTTCATAGAATAAGTACAGAAAGAAAAATTTTTTATTGTTTTATCAATTCTCTGATATGCTATTTGTTTTCTTTTTTTCTTAATGTATAATTTGTAAATTTCCCTATAATTTCCATTGCTTTGTTTTATTATTATGATGCACAATTTGATAATAAAAGATGCAGATGCAACTTAGTTTTAGGGATTTCTTTTTTAAATTTTAAATGTGATAAATTAATTGTATAAGTTTATGGTCAAATTGCATATTATAAGACATAATTTTCAAAAATCTTTTTAAGTATCAAGTCACCTTTTAGCTTTGAGATTACTTTGAATAATTAAGAAAATTTATGAAACAAAGTTCCAATTGAATTTTATCATTACTTTATCAAAAATCATTTGTAACAATACGAAAAAAATTATAAAAGTTTAAAAAAGTCAGTGGTGCACAT